TCTAGGGACTCAGTGACATTCCCGCCCCTAACCAGGTCCTGACATGATATTCGATCCAGAGTCACCTGTCCTCTGGTGGGCTCCATGAGAAATTGCTCCAAGACATAGTGATTTAGCATGTCAAGAAATCCGGTCTCTCTTTCTTGATCACAGCACGCCTGAGCCCAGTCAATGTGAGGATAATTGACGTTCCCCATGATTACGATCCTGTCCCTTTTGGACACCTCCCTGATTTCTATCCACTTATCAATTTTCCCCCTCAAGTTTTTCCCAACATTTCCCTCTCAAGTTTTTGATCTGGAGGATGATAGCAAGCCCCCAACCCACTATCACATTGCTCCTTGGTGCTGGCAGTTTAACCCACAGTGATTCTATGATGGAGTCAGACCCATCATCCATCTCCATTTCTGCTGGATTCTACCCCTTGTTTGACCTAGATGGCCACCCTGCCTCCAACATGCCCCTCCCTGTCCCTCCTCTAGAGTTTATAATCTGGGATTGCGGTATCCCATTGGTTTTCCAAATCCCACCAGGTTTCTATTATGGCCACTTGTCAGTGTTTATAGCGATAATCACAGTTTTAGCAGAGTAATTCACGGTTCAGGCAGTCCAGGAATAACTCACACATAGTCCAGCAGCATTTCCTTCAGCAACGTGTATTTACAGCAGTATTTACATCAGTCTGGCAGCATAACGTGTAGATGTGATCTTCATGCAGGAGAAGATGCAACTGACTGTACAATCACACATATATACATATACATAACCAGTCAGGTTACACATTACATCATCCCTGAGTTGCATCATCCCTGGATTGCATCAGCTCTGCTGAGTCATCCTGACTCAGCTTCAGCACACCTGATCATCATGGATTCTCATTAATACATTCCATTCTGCTCAGGCCTGTAATTTTTCCTTGACACCACTCTACCAATCTTATATCTACCCTCCAAATAAAAGTTAAGTAAATAAAAAAGTTAAAATGAATAAAATGTTCCAGTTGTCTTATCTTTGCTCATTTGGGCATTTGCATAAAAGCACCTGCCTATCGGGTCCCCCAAGAAGGGTGGCTTGTTTGCTTCTCCTTCCATCCCATCACAATCCCAGTCCTAATTCCTACACTATCATCACTTTGTGGTTCTCTATCCTCTCCACCCTCATTCCACAGGGATGAGGGGACCCGAAATGAACGCCTCTCGGCTCCTGTTGGCTTTCCCCGGGATTCAGTTTAAAAGATGCTCTTCCACCTTTTTAATTTTATGTGACAGCAGTTCAGTTCCAAGTTCATTCAAGTGAAGTCCATCCCTCTTCTCCAAGCCCACCTTGTTCTAAAAAATTCCCGAGTGCCAGATGAATCTAAACTCCTTCTCTTGACACCACCATCTCATCCACGTGTAGAGACCCCTCAGCTCTGCCTGCCTGATGACACCCAGCTCTACATCTCCTTTTCTCCAACCACAGTGGATGCTGTTCTGTCCCTTCAGCGCTGCCTGGAGGCTGTACTGCAATGGATGCAGGAGAATGGACTGAGGCTGAACCCAGACAAGATGGAGTTCCAGAGGGTGGTTGGTCCCTCCATTGGTGGATTGGGAAACTCCCTCTCTTTTGGGGGAGTGATTCTCACCATGAAGAATGAGGTTTGCTGCTTGGGGGGTCTATCTGGATCCGACACTCACCATGGAAACCCAATGATCTGCTCCGTCTATTTCCATCTGTGGTGGATTGTCCAGCTGTGTCCCTATCTTGATGTTGGGGTACTCACCACTCTGCTCCATGCGCTTGCAGTCTCGAAATTAGACTACTGCAATGCGCTCTACGTGGGGCTATTTGAGTTTGATGCAGAAGCTTCAAATGGTGCAGAATGCGGTGGACAGACTTCTCAGTGGGACGAGAAAATATCAGCATATTTCCCCCACTCTGGATGCCTTGCATTGGCTGCCTGTTCATTTCCACATTGATTTCAAAGTGTTAATGATGACATAAGCCCTAAATGGTTTAGGACCTCAATATCTACCAGAACGCCTCCTCCCACCTAGATCTATCCAAATCACTCGTTTTAGCCAGGAAGGGTGACTGAAGGGCCCAATGCAGAGGGAGGCCTGGAGAGAAAGAACAAGAAACCTGGCCTTCTCGTCAGTGGCCACTTGCCTTTGCAACAGTCTCCCCTCTGAGATCTGTCTGGCTCCCTCGCTGGCTGTTTTTAAGAGCAAACGTAAGACCTGGCTCTTTAGGCAGGCTTTCCCTCCTGTCATCACTTGAATTTTTTCCTCTTCATCTTGAACTATATTATTATCGTTGTTTTTTATTTTGTTATATTCTTTTTATTCCTTTTTTATTGTTAGCTGCCAGAGTAGACTTTGGCCTCGATGGGTGGGGTATAAATGTAATAAATAAATACCTGCCGCTGTGTGTTTAACAGGTAGCACTTCCAAGACTGCCCCTGTGTGTTTAACAGGTAGCACTTCCAAGAACAATACCTTTCAGGTAGAGTAGTATCTCGTTCTATGTACAACTTGGTTTACATAATTTCTGGTTTACGAAACGAAATCCATTCAAAATAATGCCTTGATTTAATAGTCTTTTTCCCCGTTTCTTTCACTTTGTGAAGGAGGTTTCACTGTGCCTGGAGGTTTGTAGCACCACCACCATCGCTATGGCAACCCGCGTTCCAGTTTATGTATTTTTCGCATTACGTAATGTCCTGGAGGACACATTGGTTTTGTAACCCGAGGTACTACTGTAATATGCAGCCTTTAGAATTTGTAATATTTAATTTAGCTGGGGTCAAATACCTTCTGAATTTCAATGTTTAAATTTTTGCTTTTATTCTCACAGTTGTGATTTAACAAATTCTTCCCTCCCCTCTTTCCATAGACATTGGTTTAAGTTCCTAGCTCTGGAGCCAGAAATTGGGAGTTCACTTACCTTCTAGCTTTGCAGTTCTAAGATTATATTAACTAAGTACAGTGGTGCCTCGCATAGCGAGGTTAATCCGTTCCGGATTAACCTTCGCTATGCTGAAGCATCGTTAAACGGGACAGAAAAGCCCATTGGAACGCATTAAACATCGTTTAATGCGTTCCAAATGGGCCAAATACTCACCGTTCAACGAAGCTTCGTAATGGCCGGCAGCCATTTTCGCACCCTCGCCTCGCTTAACGAGGGCACGAAAACGCTGCACGCGGCCATTTTGGGTCATTTCCGGCCATTTCCGCGCTTCCGGCGGCCATTTTGGCCGCCGAACAGCTGATTGTCGGGCTTCGTTTTGCGAAGATCGGTAAGCGAAACGCTTACCGGTCTTCGCAAAGCGAATTGAGCCCTATTCAAAAGACGTTAAGCGATCGCATTAGCGATCTGAAAAAACGGATCGCTATGCGATTTCGTCGTTATGCGGTGCGCTCGTTAAGCGAGGCACCACTGTATCTATTTCCCTGACCATCTTTGCTTCCTATCCTGCTTTCAGAAATTCCTGATGATGACCTGTAATAGCATTTTATAAACTCTACATGCCATCCCTTTCGTGGACCTTTCCTTTCTCTTCGCCCTCTGAATAATAATCTCTGCAGAGTTTGTCAGTTCCCAGCATCTACCACTTTCTCTTTTCCAGTTCTCGAGTCTAATTATCTGCATTCATCCACTTTTACACTTCCTTTCTAACACTGTCCTTTCACCCCCTTGTTATTCATTTTTGCTTTAAAAATCCTTTAATTAAATTATTTGTTTCCTCTTTAATCAACTTTGAGAAATTCCTTTCTAATTTTCTGGAAAAATAAGTACAATCATTGGGGAGAATTTGAGAAGAAAAAAAGTTAATATACTTTGAATTTTGTGTACTGTACTTACTTGGATGTGGAAATGATCCTCCCTTCATGACTCCTCCCTCCAAAAGGTCCCTCACTGAAGAGCCCATCCAACCTCAAGCTGAAAGGAATATCCTCGTCTGGCATCATCCCCTCCCTGTTTCTCTTCCTTCACCTTTTTGGCTGGGTTTCCTTCCTACTCTGTGACTCAGGTGGAAACTGAACACCTCATACCTTATTCCTGCAGATTTTGGAAGTGATTGTTTGTCTTCTTTTTCTAATCTACCAGATGATGAAGAACAGGAGAGGAAGAATTGCCCAGCAACATCTGGGGCAACCTGGGCAGGAACTCATGATCAAGCAAGAAAACAGAGAACTGAAAATAGGAATGACCAGGCATGGACTTCACATGAAAGGAATAAAGCAGGGGAGAAACCACGTAAACGCATGTCACCTCAGTAGGCATCAAAGAACACATGAAGGCGAGAAACTGTATGCAGGGGAGAATATGTATCCATGTATGGAATGTGGAAAGAGCTTCAGTCAGAGTAGTCAGCTTAGGGTACATCAAAGGACCCACACTGGGGAGAAACCACATAAATGCATGGAATGTGGAAAGAGCTTTAGTCATAGTTCTGCCCTTAAGTTTCATCAAAGGACTCACACTGGGGAGAAACCACATGAATGCATGGAATGTGGAAAGAGCTTTAGTC